CCGCGTCTAGTACCGCCGGCAGAGCCAGCCACCATTCACCACTGGTGACCCAAAAAGTACAGATGAGGAAAAACAGAAAAAATAAGCACGTCAGTGTGTAAGTCAATATGTGTGTATGTGTGTGCCTTCGAGGTTTATAGAGGCTATCCCAGACAGCATGTCACTGATTGAGGAAGTTTTTTTAATTTATTTTTTCTACTAGAGTGAAGCAGTGAAATGAAGTCACGTTATAATTATATTTTATTCTCTCTGTTAAAAGCTATTAAAACCTTATATTCATGTCAGATCTTCCCAGTCAGAGCAGTAAAAGACCAATGAGCAAAAACAGTTTATTACCTCACTCTCTAACACTGGTTGCACCGGTTTGGTTTGACTCACCCGCACTCTGAAGACAACTGGCACATACAATCAGCTGGTTCATTCACTTGTTTAGTACATACCTGAGAGGCTACTCATATTCATTCCAAAGGTGAAAAGCCTTATTAATATAGTCCTGCCATTAAGGTAAACATACAACACCAGCATCCCACTAAATGTACTGTAGTGCCTGGAAATATGACGTTTTCATCCTTATTTGCTACAAAAAGATTAGAACTGTGACCTCTCCTTATCTTTGTTTTGCTTTCTGGACATGGACATCCCTGTTTGTGAGAGGAGAAATATTAATCCCTCAGTAGTAACCCCAGCATTAGTTTGCCCCCATCCCCCTTCTTAGTTAAATATAAACTCTGAAACTGATTGTGTATCCCCAGTCCCTGGTGCACCATGACAAAGTCACCCTGAACACAGAATATCAGCACTGCACATATAATCACGTATGTGGCTATACAAGGCTGCAGGACACGGACCATTTATTCTGTTCAATTTGCAAATGTGCATATCTGTGCATGTATGTGTGTGTGTGAGGCAGAGAAACAGAGGGAATGTTGATATACTGAAGAGCAACAAATTACAAGAAGACAGGGATGGGTGGAGATAGTGTAGCGTTACAGGGTGGATGGTGGATTGTGTGTGCGTGCAGGCATGCCTGTGGACTTTCACCTGGCCATGTGGTTGGACAAAGGGCAAAGACTGAGGATTAGAGAAGAATGCAGCATACTGCTGATCAGTGCTACTGATAGTAGACACATGACCTGACACTGACTGCCAAACAAAAGGCACATTACGTCCAACAAAAAAACACTGAGTGGTGGTTTAGGCTTGCACGATGTGTCATGCATTTCCAGCAGTTTGTAAAACACATACTCAGTGTTGCTGATGTAGACTATGTGGTGTGTTTAAGGAAATGGTTTCCATTAGGAGGAAATAATAACATATCAGGGATGTTTGCCTTTATAGTTGAATAAGGGGCACTGGTGCCTTTGTGGACAGTTACAATGTTGTACTGACCTGACAGCCTCCTGCCTCGCTGCCTTCAGTGCACAGGAAGGCCATCTTCCTGTTTTTCTGCCCCATCAGTTTGGTGGACAAAAGCACAATGCAGAATTGACACAGGAGCATGGTCAGCACCTCGTACACATCAGGCCCACGGGACACTCCTACACACACATAACCTGATGAAGATAGTGTTGTTTTCAGTCATTAGCCATACTGATCATAAGCAGTGTCATATTACAGCAAACAATAGAATTCAGGACACTCCAAAAAACCCTGTTATACAGCATGTAGACTTATGTGAGTTGAAGTGTTTCTTCATATACTTTATGTTTACTGGAAAGTGAATTGATAAGACAATGATGACTTGATAGTGTTGGACTATATTCAAATTTAAGGCACTGAAGTTACATAGTACGCTTTTGCTGTGTGTTAGGAAATACTTAATTGCTTTTTCAGCAAAATTCTCACTGTAGTTTCAGAAAGCTCACTGTTGCAGCCGAGAGCAACACTGTGTGAGGGAGTAAAGCAGATTAAAAGACAAGGCTAGAACATCTTGTACAACCACTGAGCTCCAGAACCAGAGATACGGCTGCAGGGCAGCGGTGAGAAGAAAAAAAATCCGGCTGCAGGGCAGCGGTGAGAAGGCGCCTCTCACATCCCGCCATTGTCCAGCTTCCTTCAGGCTGCAGAACCAGGGCTTCCTCAGGACATGAGACAAGGCACTTGGTTAGTTTAATAAAAACAGCGCACACAGCTTAATAAAACAGGACACCTATGAGGTTCAAAGGGAAAACCATGAAATGTGCAAATATTTTATGAACTGCTTTTGCAGCTGCCAATCTATGTTATAATCCTTATACAAAATATAGTTACATTTTAAATAATTACATATATAAATGATCTTTACAACCCCTTTAAATCTGTTTATTTTTTTACCTGTGGTCTTCCTTTTGATATTCAGGCTAAATATGCTGCTCACTAGTTTTCTTTGCAGTCTGGAATCCTTAAGTTTGTCCATCACTGACTTTTATTGCATTTGACCAACTTTTTAAAATGTTTTTATTTTTTTTTACGTGACTTGACTCAGGCCTGAGACATAACAGCTGATGGGTGTTTCACCATTAGATGGAGATCTTTCCACACTGACACCACTGAACCCATTGAATGCAAAGACAACAGTGAGCCAGAATGCAGGACAATTCAGCTATTAATCGCACACAAAGTGTTGAGACCATTCAAACGCATATATGAGCTGTGCCTAACCTTTACAGAGCAGTTACAGTAAATGTAATTCTACAGCCAAAAGCAGTGGAGCATGGCAATGATTTAATCTTTGCCCTCAACAACAGCTCAACCGTAAATAATCCAATTAACTAATTTGCTTACGTCGATTTTCCAGAAGAGGGCGGTGTCCTAACAGTTTTTAGCAACAAGCCCAGCCCAGCACTACAAAAAAAAAAACACCAGAAAGTCTCTTTCTAAAGGCTCTTCACATTCAAAATGAATAATTCCTTTCAATTATCTTTGTAGTTCTCTTGAAACGTTACTAATGTGGTTCACGTTGTTCTTCCCAACATTAAATGGCAGAGGCTTGACTAATTCTAAGATTAATGTAAAATGCTTCATACATTTCATTCTTCATGTATCTCACTCCTCGATTGCAAAATGAGTAAAGGCTCAGACTGATGTCTCTGGAACATTTAACACTTCTCGCAGTGAGATGTGGGCTACAGTGTCCCAAAGCGTTGACAGCGGTCCAGAGTGACGTCGCTAGCCCAGGATGAAATGAGAGAGAAGTCAAGTTACCCACACACAGCCAGGGCAATACCGGAAGTGACGTAACTTTACCTCCACAGTCGACCCCAATTCATTTACTATGACTCAAACTGTATGTAAATTAAGGGGAATGTGATAGGCTTTTACCTTTGTTTTGTTTGAGAACCTTTACACACTCAACAAAAAACAACTTAAATTATGGAGCTATTCAATATCAAATAAGTTAAAGTGTAAATTATGTTGAAAAACTTGCTCTCGTTACAACCAAATAATTTCCATATTTATAATCAGTTGAAATCGTTTTTAATGGGCTATTAATAATGTCTTTGAACGTGTTTAATTTTTGTCTTTGTGGAATAATGTATAATTTAGGTATATCCGGAGCTCGTGTTTAAACTTTGATTTATAGCCCATTAACGTGTCAGGTGTATCGTCTGGGGTAAATCTGAGATTTGAACGCGTACAAACACAGAAGTACAGTCAGTCTGCTTATGTTATTTTGAAAGCAAAGTCCGGGAAATGACTGCTGCGAGTGCGTTGGCAGTGCGTGAGGGGCGCACGGTGACAGCAGCAGCACCCCGCTAGGGAGAGAGCGGCGGAGCTGGAATCAGCCAGGAGGGAACATGTGAAGGTGGAATCCGACTGAACAGCATTGTTTTGTAACTGGCGTCTGTTTCTGTGAGGAAAACACGGCCGACGTGCACGCTTAGCAGAACAGGAACCTTTATTTGGATTTTATAATCGCTGGCGATATATATTTTTCTTTTCCTGTATATTGAAAACCTCTCTCTGGCAGTGTGCACCTTCTCAGAAACTGACTGAAAGCAGTGTTTGCAGAGAGTGAGAAGCATCATTTATGTTCACCGGATAATTAGAAGTGTTCCGTGAATATTTTGTCCTGCTTTATGGGATTATTCTCCACGAAGTCGTTTTGTTTTAGATAAGAATACATTGGGCATCATGAGTTCCACTGGTAAGTCCACTCTTGCGCGCGTTATCTCTCCACTTGAAGCGCAAGGACAATAGTATACATAGGTGAGAGAGCAGAGAGAAGAACTGCCATAGAATGTATCCTATAATCCAGAGAGACTACAGATAGTAAATATTTTAAAACAAGGTTGAAATGTTTAACTGTTGCAGTGTATTTCTCTTAACATCAGAATACAGCAATATTATATTCCGGGCATTTAATATTTACGTTTTTCTATTTGTCAAGAAAAAAAAAGTCGTCTATTTAAGAAATGCCTGTGGGAACAGTGTGCACCTTTAATAAGAGCTGGAGCAGGCTTAGAGAGTCTGGAGTGCTAAATATATCTGGAGGGTAATGTAGCAGCTGCCCAGAGTTCATCCATAGAGAAGCATCTTTTGGGATTCTTCATCTACAGACCAGTTGTAGCTTGGGCCCTCCCAGTGTTTCCTATTCTCCTCCATCACTTCTCTCTTTCCTCCTCCTGTTCACGGCCACCAGTAGTAGGCTACATTTGACCTCGTGGAGACCACCCAGGCTTTCTTCTTTTACCTCTTGAAAGTTCACCTACCTTTTAACACCTTTATTGCCAGAGCAGGGAACCCTTGAACTGGAGGTCTCTGACCTGACTGCGGTTGGTCTCATGGTGTGTAGCTGTGTGCCATACAACACATGACAAATAAGTTTGATGGCCTCAGAGCTCCTGTATATTTCTACCCTAAAATGGCCCAGGGGCTGCCATGATGCTAATCTGACCTTGTATCAGCTGACTGTGACCCTGATCCTCTGTTAGCTGAATCAGGGCTTTCCCTGTAGGTCAACTGTGTGTGTGTGCATGTGTGCACTCACATGCATGCCTCCACCTTGTTGTGTTTACCAGTCACTGCACTAGGTAGAATGTTTTGACATTTTTAAGTAAATTCCTCCCCAGTCTCTTAGCTGTCAGTGAGGCTAGTGGAAGTGGATGTTTGCCATGTGCTACCTCTTCCTGTCCTGCCTCCCCTGTCCTCTGTGTTTACAGACGTGAACCTGGTATCATTGCATCATTCATAATCTACTGTAGCCCTTCATTGTGTGGCACTGCATTATTCATTCAAAGTTCTTAACCCTCTGGTACAGAACCTTGCCTGCTGGCCAGTGGTCTCGCAGCACCTCTCTTCCTGAGAAAATGTGTGGTATTCTTTTGTTAAGCTTCAAAGCTCTTTTCATTTAAAAAGCACGTGTTCAAATTGGAACACACAAATCAGCAACACGTCAACTCGTGGTTTACCATTTGTGTGTGAACCTGTGTATATCTGCATTTAATCATGTTTGTGTGTGTGTGTGTGTGTGTGTGTCACAGCAGGCAGATGGTGCTGTGACATGTGTCAGCACTCTGGCTTTAGGCATAAAAACACAGCTGAGCAAAGAGCACATGAATGGGCCTGTACATGAATGGGCCTGTGAGGCTGAAGTGTGTGCAGTGTTTTCTGCTACGTTGGGTGAGATAGTCCAGAGGCCATCAACACGCACAGAGTAATTACACATAGCACTGACTGTCTGTCTTCATCTTTTGAGCCCTCTATCTCTCACGGTCACTGGGTTTTGTGTGTGAGTGTGTGTGTGTGTGTGTGTGTGTGTGTGGTCAGACTCTTATTTTTTTACCTGGCTGCCAGACAAGACAGGACTGTGGCTGTAGCCGGTTACTGAACAGGACCTTGGTTTAACATAGATATAGTATGTACTCACAAGAATTTTGTTTATGTAAAGATGCAGTTTTGCTAAATGTAGCCCAACTGATAAATCAGGTCATTCCTGAGATACAGTAGAAGCACCGTTTGTGTGTTTCAGGGGAGTGATAAAACACATGTTGATCAATATACTGATCATTGAGCAGTGCGACCTGAGGGGCTCTGCAGAGTCATACATCATAGGCTGCACTGACACCCCTCTCCTCTCACTTTCCCTCTGTATATCAGAGGGTTCTCAAGTATCAGGGAGACATTTAATGCACCATGTTGGGACTGTAAATGTTCTTACGCATAATACCTCCATTTGCCAGTTTTAGATTTAAAACAGGCATTGCATGTCTCATGCAATCTAATGATATGGCTTGAATGCACAAAAGGTATGGAAATCAACACCAGGAATATCCAGTCTCCAGTGAAGAAATGTCAATTTCTAATCTCTTTAGTCTTTTGTCTAGTCTTTTTAGCCACATGTAGCTCTGTGAATAGCAGTGTTGGTCTCAAATAATATTCAGATCAGACTTAAGGGCAATCTGGGCAGTAGTTTGCCAGATAAAGTATCTTGGTCTATACTAAAGTGC